TGAGGCCCAGGGCTCGGCACACCGCTAGCCCGCCGCGGCGATACGGCTAGCCGGTCAAGCCGCATTATTGGGTGGCGACGAGAGACGCAGTGAAGGCTCAAACGCTCACGTTTGCACTTCCTTCGCAATTAGCAATTCATGTTTTATTCACGGCAGGACATATTTACAGAGACTTGTCATACAAAAAATATTAAATGGGCCTTTTTAATGACAAAACTATCGCTCTAAAGTTTTGTACTGCATAAAGACACAGTAATAAAATTTCGGGGAAAAAAAAACGTTTTTGTACTTTGTATCACAGTTGGTTTTCGTAAGGGTCGAGATCAGGACTGATGTCCATGCCAATACCGGAGCCTCGTCCAACACCTGGGCTTGGATCAAGACCAATAGGGCTCGACCAGGATCACGTCGAGTTGCTATCCCGACTTCTGAATTCCTTGCCAGACTAGAGAGGATGATGGTGAAAAAGTAATGTCCCACTGTATCTATTTGTGAATTCCACAATGTGTTGTGCTGGAATAGCAATTTCACAACTAATTACACGCTATGACCCAAATAGCTAATAAAAGCACTCTTAATAATAACAATGCTAATATAATTATAGCCTAGTGACGATTACAAGCGCTACCAGCACCTTTACGCCTGGATGTAAATGCAAATGCAAACATTTGCTGGCAACTGTTAGCCCCAAGCGCTAACAGATGTAGCGGTCCTTTCACGCCTTTTGTCTAATAGAAGGCGCGATTGTTTCAAATGATACATTTCAAAGGTTTCACCCACGTCTTTAGCTAGCTAGCTAAATGTGTGAGAGGACAATATGCTAATGCGGCGCTAATGTCTTTTGTAAGAAATCGTTAAGGTAGAATAAAAACACAAGAGGTGGCGAGAATGTGTTTACAATGCGCACCTCCGCATGAAACCCACGAAGCGCTGATTTCCCCATAAAAGGCTTTTAATGGGAAGTAAACACGCTAGCTAATGATGCACCTACGGATCAGAGAGCGTGACATCCCATAATTAACTGGGCTAATTGCTACTAAACTGCTGCGGCGCAGCTAATAAAGTGTCAGGGGAGGTCGAAAATCAACCTCATAACAAACATACAAGTGTTGAATTGTAACCACTGACAATGGACCACATGCTGCTTCACCAAGTCTCAAGACAAAGACACGCTAATCTGATCACATAGAGTAGCCTGCTCGATCAACTTTCCAGTTCTCGTTCTTGGGCCAGGTTTAGCCCCTTGGTCCTAGTCCTTGGCCTTTAGTTCCTTCGGTCCTGGTCTATGTCTTTGAACAGGACTAGGATCTCTTTATTCCAAGCCTATGGTTCTGGTCTACGTTCTGAATACTTCTCTTGGTCTGGGTATCGAGCTCGGTCCAAACCTAGTTTGGATATAGATCGTCCATTTGGCACTGCCTGTACCCATTGTTTGGGTCTAGGTCGTCGGGCTTGGGCCAGTTCTACACCCTGATCCAGGTCAAGGAACTGGTGTCAAGGTTGGTCCACTGTATTTGATGAAATAATGAAATGATTTAAGATAAGATATGTCACAATGTAACTAATTAATTAATTATGTTGGTGTTTACATAACTTATTAATTTTCATGTATAATATATAATTCATAATCAATTATCAATTCATACTTTATGTACATCTAATTTCTTGAGTCAGTTTTTTTTTTTTAAGTAGGGCAACAGAAAGCCCTTTATTAGCATACCCATGTTGGTACGCTATTATTTCCATATTTCAATCCTCCACTCTTGAACATCCGTAGCAGATGACAAAATCCCGGCAACAGCTTGTCCTCCGCTTTAACACGGGACATATTTTCTGGGAGAGAACAGAAGTCTTTGCATGGGAAAAGTCTCGAAGCTGTCAGCCATAAAGTCTCCAGGCTTTGTAGCGTGCTGCCGCGTTATGGGATTATTGTCTTAGTTTCAGTGTAAACATGGCCACCAACGCGCAGCTCTCTTGAACACCAACCTGTTTACAATGTATACAAAAAATCTACACATCCATGTTCAAATGCCATTTTTTTTCCTTTTATGTGAGAAAAACAAAACCAAACCAAGATAACTAATTTCAAAATTGTCATCAATGTGAGCTCTAACCTGTACAACTGAACTGACCATCTGAACTTTACGTGGGGTTCATCCAAATCGGTGGAGAAGTCAAACCATCTGTAAGCTATGTTTTCAGTTTTAGGATGCGTTTCAAATGAAATCTGAATGCGTTTTGAGGCCCTAGTGAGTGATATATTTATGGTTTAAAAAAATTAATATCGTCAATGGGTCTCGGTTTTCGCTATTTCTATTTCTACAGTCATGCTGAGAAATGTTCACGCCGTCTCATATAAACTTCACCAAGGACCCTCGCTAGCAGAGCAATCGGAAATAAAATAGCACACCTAAATAAATAAATAAGACCTGAGTTTTAAAAAAACAAAAAAAAAAAACAAAAGACAATTACATCATGAGATTTCCCACATACACACACAAACGGCACACAGAAAAACGCCATTTTATCAGCGTGGCGGTCCGGCAGCTCGCACTGTTAACCTCCACCAGCACTCGGCCCACTCGTCCCCCTGGTGAGGAACAGATGCGAAGCGAGAGGAACAAATGGAAATCCAACTGGAAGCCCACTCACACACACAACACACACACGAACCAGCAGAACAAGTCCACCGCCTGTTTCGTCGCAGCTCGCCTACTCGTGCTCGGCTTCCTGTCCTACAGCGTGGGGGGCGCGGGGGGGGGGGTGCTCAATAGCCGCCATGTTTAAACACACGGCTCCAAGGGGTTGCCGGAAAACTTGCGCCCCACCCTCTCCGCCCCAACCAACCCTCCCCCATCCCGCCATCTTGCTCTACCTGCCATCCCCAGCCGATCCCGGGAAAAACTTGGCGGCAGATGTTGCGAGCGCCAAGTTGGCTCTGAAGTGCCTCCCTGGTTCCCAGCGCTCGCCCGACAACACAGTCAAAACGCATCAGATCTCTTTATTTGCGCCCGGGGCGAGTTCGGCACCGCAGCTGTGGCCGCCCCCCACCCCACTGCCACCGCCTACCTTTGGTGTCGAAGGCCCTCGGGCGCTAAATGTGAGACCCCGAGAAAAAAAAAAAAAACTGTTTCCCTCTCATTTATTGTCTCGCGCTTCTGCATCTGCTGGAAAATGCAGCAGTTGCTCAGGGCGGTGGCACGGAACTATGGGCGTGTTCATACCACCGTGGGAGCGGTTGGAGGGCCGTGACCCGTGCCGAACAGATGTCGGTAACAACCTGCTTCCTTACACCTGTACGAAAACCCCGAAAAACATTCTCTGAAACATTCATGACCCCGGGGGGTTCCTGTCGGCCATCAAAAGCCGCACCCCCTGTCCCACCTTTGACAGCCACCTGCAAAGGGACGCTTTGGAATTGTCACGCTGGAGTGACAAAGTACCAAAACTCAACAAAAATAATGAAGTGAAAACTTCCGAAAGAAGACCGTGTCATATTTACCAAGTGGAGGCCACTTTGTCCAGTAGATGAATTCACGACTACCCAGGAACTATATTCCACAAACTTTATAGGAAGACTGTCGTACATTTTGGGACAGTGCCTATTTGACTTTTACAGTCGCCATGCATTGGAGCCAAGCGCGAGGGTTCACCCCATCACGTGGATGGGGCAACGACACAAAGGTACCCAAGAACACGCAGAATTCCATTCGTTGCGACGTTTAGTATTCCTGTCCACCAACCAAATGAGCTTTGCCGCGCAGTAGATGGCCATACGGTAACCCCAACAAAAATCGAAACGAAAACAGAAAAGCCATCTACTTCCTTATACCCGTAAAAGTCCCGGGAAACATTTGTTAAAATATTCATCATTGTCCGCCCTCACCGCCTTCTGACTCCTGGCGCTTTGATCGCGTTTGAGCGACTCGAGACAGGTGACACAAGAGAGAGTTGAACTCAAATTGTGTCGTTCCCCCTCCTCCCCCATCAGAAAGGGCAACCACCCACAGCTGACTAAGTGGAATCGGACTGAACCCGCTCCCCGCCCTGTGGGTCCTTGAGGCGGTTGTCATTTTTTTTTTTTTTTCCAATTTTGTAACCTGTTGCTTTGTTTCTTCCCCATTTGGATTGCAAGTTAAAGGTCTTGGATGAACAGCAACAGGTCCGTTTCCGACCTCCCATCAATCCGTTGCCTGTTTGATCCCGACGCGTTCCCTCACCGATTTTGGTGAGGCGACACGCATGTGAATGAAGCATCGTTTTTGCACGGACTGTATTTCTCCACGAAAGATTATCGTGGACTCACAAAAAATTGAAATTTCATTTCACTATCATATCACAAAGTGGCTTAATTAGACCCGAAAGATTTTCTTTGAAATTTCATTTCACTATCTCACAAAGTGGCTTAATTAGACCCGAAAGATTTTCTGTTTTGCCACCCAAATGATTTTTACACGAAAAAGAAAGGAAGATCGAAGCGGCTGCTGACATTTGTTTGTTTAATGTCTCGCTCTGACATTCAAGAAGGCCATCTGGTTAAATCGGTTCGTGTGTTTTTTTTTTTTTGTTGCTCTGTTGGGATTTGGGGGCCATGTCTTTAGTTTTTGACCACAATGGCAGGAAATTGCCTTCTCATTACTGCCACTTTTTAACTTCTGCTGCTATGTTGTTGGGTCATATTCACCCGTGTCATTTATGACTCTTTTCTTTTTAATCTGCAGGTTTTTTGTTGTGGTTTTATTGATTGAGCTGTTTTGCTTCACTTGTTCAGAATTTATTTACTGTTGCATTCAATACTAGGAGAGAATAAGTTGTCCAGCCACACAGCTGAGTGACTCACTCCCCGCTGGCTTTTTTGTTGTTATATTTGACCTGAATTGATTCATTTCAGCATTAAAATTACATCCGCATTTCTAAAAATGATTTCCACCGTTAGTATGTTTATGCAAACAAGCAAACTCGGATGATATTTTTGCCATTTCAAACACCCGCCCACATACCTTATCATCAGAGGTGGGCCTCATGAGGGACACTCGGTCGTACTGCCGTCGCATCAGCGCCCACAAAGCGTCCAGACGACCCTGGTGGACATGGAGCGTTTAACCCTTGCCGTCGAGCTCTAAGGCTGAATGCGAAAGCACAGCTGAAGACGCTTCACCTTGATGGGCGTGTACCACTTGCGGTCCGTGCCGTGGTAGGAGGCGGCGGCGGGCCTGGATGAGGGCCGCTTGACCATGGGTTCCTCGGCATCCTCGGGCATGGACACCACGGCGTTCTTGGCCTTCTCCAGACGGGCGCCCTCTTCCGTGGAGCCCTTCTCGCCCCAGCGCACCTGCGCAAACCAGGCAGGGCAGACGGGACGGCATCAGTTTTTTGGGTTTTGTTTTGGCTGCTTGCAGAGACGACCAAATGAGCCGTGATCACACCGACCGACAATTTACAGTGTTCCATTAACCTACCAAGTATGCTTCTGGAATGCCGGAGGACACCAGCCTACCCGGAGAAAAGCCACACAGCAAAGCCGGGGTCCGAAAATGAACCCCGGACCTCTGCACTGTGAGGCGGACATGCTGACCAGTTAACCACCGCGCTGCCCTATTTTCGTAGCCTTTTTGTGACCACATATGTTCTGATTGCAAGATAACGGATCCCAGAGTGCAACTGTGTGCACAAATTTTGTACTTTTGTGAGCAAATCTTTATGAAAACTAGGACTGTTGGAAGACTTGAAAGGATGTTTACAGGTAGATGTTTGAGGCCTTGGCGGTGGGTGGGGTGGGGGTTTCTTTTTGAAGCGAGGACGTGGCCTGACAAGGCTAATCAAAAGGCTATGCTTAAAACCCCTCGAGGATGCTGGGAAATCCCTGTGATGATTTACAGATGATGTGGGGTGGGGGGGGGTACGGCGGTAAGGATGGCGGACATGTTGACAGCGAAGATGACGTGACGGCATCACGACGGGACGATGAAGGACAGCCTGTCACGTTAGCGTTGTCAAGGTGCAGATTGACAGATGGGAAAACGGACGGACGGATGGACGGATGGCAATGTCGCATTAAAAAAAAAAAAAAAAAAAAATGAGTGTAAGCGCTTTTCTGTTGACCCGCTTTGCGTTTACACGACAACACGTCGCATTCCAACACGACCGTGTGACTTTTAGAAGAGGGCAGGAGGAGAAGGAAGAAGAAGAGGAGGAGCAAGTGAAAAAGGACGCGGATCAAGATGGGAGGAGGAGTAAGAACAAAATGCCAATGAGGAAGGGAGGAGAATGAGGATGAGCAAGAGGAGGAAGAGGAGGACGAGTCAGAGGAGGCGGCAGGAGGATGGAGATTGATGAAGCCGTTTGACCTCCATGCGTTTGATGCCTCCCGCTCCTCTTCCTCCGTAGTAGGAGGCGTCCACGGTGGGCCATTTCTTCTTGCCGGCCGGCTCGGGCTCCTGAAAGGGAAACGGCGTCTTCGTCGTTAGCGCAGCCGCAAGGACATTTGAAATCCTGGCCTTGTCCTTGTTTTAAAACCCTACCCTTCAACACTAACCACGGATGGAAAGTCTAATTTGAAACTATCACACGCTTGAAACCTTAACCTAGCCTGGAAAGATTATTTAAAACCTTACCTTGAAAAGGAAAACAAGGCTTGAAGGTAAAAGTTGAAACCAGAGTCAAAACCCTACTTTGAAAACCCAACCCTTGCTTGAAACCATAATTCTGTCTTAACACCCTGACATGTTTCTTCACCCGACCTCTTTGAGCCCTTGATTCAAACCCTAAACTGGGGCTGAAACGTTTTGAAAACCTACCTTGAAAAATATGGAAAATTTAAAACACAAAACACGTCTTTGAACCGTAATTTGAAACCCGAACATGACTTGAAACCTTTAACCTGGCTTTGAACCCTAACACAAATTTGAAACCTAACTTCAAATCTTAAACCTTGTTTGAGACCCTGTCTTCCAAGCCCCTCATAAAAACATAACCACAGCTTGAAAGACTCATTTTAAAGCCATTCATGTGCTCAACACCCTAACTTGAAACGTTAACCTTGGCTTTCAACCCTCATTTGAAACCCTAACCCTGTTGTGAAACCCAAATATGAAACCGTGCCACTTGCAACATTTGTTTGGAGCCCTATTTTGGAAAGCAGAACCCTGGTTTGAGAGCGTACTCACCGGTGGCGGCGGTCTTGATGGGGGCGGCGGTGGCGGGGGGTCTTTGATGACCTGGATAGGAAAAAAAAAAGTGTCAGCAGAAAGTCTGTCAGGAGATGATGTCCACCAACGTTGTGACGGGAGCTTGACGGCTGACAGGCCACTGAGTCAAAAAGACCCCCCCTCCTCCCCCATTTTTATTAGTTGTCATACGAGTGGAAGCAGTAAAGTGTCAAAATACTTTATGGTTGTGTTAAAAACCAACAAAGGGTTCTTCGCACACGCTGTTATTGGTTTTCCCCACACTTGAATGTGTCTTAATAAAAAGTGTCTGCCGTTCTTTTGTCAAAATACACAAAGTAGAAAGAATTATAGCAACACGGTGACAGCAATAACACTTAAAAAATAATAAATATATTTTAAAATGGAGTGATTAATTCACATCTTTGATATCCAAACTGATTTTTCCAATTCAAATACTTCCTTCCAACCCTACACCCCAATATGTCACATATAAGTTTGGAATATGAGTAATTAAATATGACAAAATCATTCAAAAAATATGTTCCATATGTGCAAAATAAAAACAGAATATGGCGTTATTTTAATATTTCTAAAATTAAAATAATAATAAAAAAATAATGTAAACGGGCAATACTGTGAAAAAGAAAACAACTTATTTTACATCCAAATAATGGTTTAAAATTATGTAACATGAACATCAATGAAAAAGGAACTGACAAAAAAATATGTATATTTTTTTTAAAAACAAAAGCAGTAACAGACTGCCAGCAGAAGTGCAGGAAACCGCCTCAGGAGCCCATAACTTGAAAGTCAAAAGTGCATTTAATGTCACCAAAGTGGGCCGAGGGGGTTAAAAGTGCAACTCCAGCACCGGACGAGTACGAAACCCGGCTGTATTTTTTCGGGAGAGGTTCAAGAGAGGACAAGCATTCACACATGCTGAGAGACCCCCACTCCACCCTCCCCACCCGTGTACACCTCCGTACCTTATCCCCAACCCCCGCTGACTCTGATGAGTGTTCCTGTTTTGCAACATGAGCCCCCCCCACCGCACCCCCGTGAAAAATGAAGCATCAACTTGTTGACAGCGGGGGAAGCGTCTTCAATTAATTGGACGAGGTCCAGCGCGCCCGAGTGGGCCGAAGTCCTGACGAGTTAATTAACTCCAATAAGATGGGAGACCGAAGAGGAGGAGGAGGAGGGAAAAGTTGAGCAGGAAAAAGAAGCAGGAGGAAGCTGGGGAAAAGGAAAAGGAAGTCGTAAAAAGAAGAGGAAAACATGCAGAGGGAGGAAGAGGAGGCGAATGAGGATGAGGAAGGGGGGGGAGAAAGAGGAAACGAAGAAGGGAGAGGAAGAGGAGTAAACTGTGTGAAGAGGTGTCGACGAGGAAGGGGGGAGAAAGAGGAAGAGGAGTAAACTGTGTGAAGAGGTGTCGAATGCGCATGAGGAAGAGGGCAGTCGAGGAGGAGAAGGGCGAGGACCATCAAGAAGGCGAGAGGACAGAGGAAAAGGAGGAAGAGCGGAGGTAGAGGAGGGAGAAGAAGAGTAAAACGAGGAGGAGTTGGAGGCAAGCCTGGAAGGAGGCAGAGGAGGAGGGTGAGGAAAAACAAAAGGAAGACAAGGAGGATAAGAAGAAGGCAGAGGATGAGGAAGGAGGAGGGAAAAGGAGTTTGAGGAAGAGGGCAATGAGGAAGAAGAGGAAAAGGAATGGACAGTGAAGAGTTGGAGGAAGAGGAGGAAGGAGGAAAAAAAAGGCTCAGAGAAACAAGAGAATGAGAAGAACTCCTAGGAAGAGGAGAATGGAAAGGAGGAAAAGAAGGAGAAGGAATAGGAGGACGCCCGTTGTGTCGCGTTTGCGGGACTTGAGGTGCTCGGTCACCAGCGGCGGAAAAATTGCTCTTGCGCTAAAACGCTGCTCCCTGTTGATGCGGAGGACATGCTGCCTCCTCGAGATACCAACAGCTGTTTCCCACACCACATTTTCATGAGCAAAATGACGACCCCCCCTGCCCAAAAAAAGAAAGAACATCAATTAGACTTATTTCATTCCTCTGACACATTTCTCTCGCTCACCCTATTTTAAAAGCCAAAGCCTTGTCTGGAAACCTAAAAGCCTTTGAAATCCTCGCCCTAATAAAAACCCACATTGAAAGCCCGCTTTCTGTCTTGAAAGCCTCACAGGGGTTTCAAACAACTTCTCCCTCGCAGGAAACCGAATTTTCCAAACAAACAAACGAAGAAAGTTAGCATAGACGCAAACAGCTGTTTCGCGGTTCGCGTTTAAAAAGCACGGACGGCGCAGTCATTAGCATAATGAATGAAAGTCATCAATTAGGCTTAATGAATTCCTCTTTGACACGCTCGTCGGCAAATCCGGCGACCTCTCCATACGCTGCCCGGCGCCGTTCCCACCGTCGCCGTACGCTCGCCGGATTAGCTCCTCCAGAGTAATTACACAAGCAGATTTTCGGGACATATTGTGGGATAAATACAGGGGACTTTATCCAGGCTATACCTGCTGGACAGATGTGACGCCTAATTAATATCCAATAAAAAGACGAGCGACACGCACGAAATGAATTCTCAAAATCGTAAATGTCTGTCAAAGTTCTGTCAATACACCAAAAAACAATTATGTTTATTACCATGCGGAGGTTTGACACACCGTCATCACGTGCGACAGAAAGAAAAAATCTTTGTATGTAAAGATGTGTTCTGGGACATTATTTTGTCAATTAATCGATGAATCGGATAAAAAAAAAACCAAAACAGAAATTAGCATCAATGGTGCATTCATTGCAAACCCTTCAAATCACCACGACTTGAACACACACGGAGCAGCAACGCTTACAAACGGCATCGATACCGCTATCAACTCATCAAACATTTCCAAAAGTATCGGCGATCCGAGCGGATTGAGCCTTTGATTCCGGCGCCATTTTGACGATCATTTCCCCAACTAAACGACAAACAAAAGAAAATCATCACTCCGCAGCTTGTGAGCGTGACCCCCTCGGCTGGCTCGGCGCCGAGGCGGGATTTCGCGTCTCATCCCGACTCGCCGCAGCCAGGCAGGCTGGCGAGGGGTATAAAGGAAGTGGGGTGAGGGGGGGAGGGGGCGTGGGGTTTAAATATTAACAAGACACACATGGCCCTCCTCTTGTGCCGCGTTCCCCGGGTGCGAGGCGACAGCAGCTCCCCGCACCAAGACAAACACGGCGGCGGCCAGACATGCTGCAGGGGGTTTACATTTTAATGCCTTTGTTGCCGCTCCAAAATATGCTTCCGTCTCATGCTGGACGCCGTCCCTGCAGGTTCCAGCCACGCCAGGTGACGTCGATCATTTCTGGTGAAGGGGCTTTGCGTTGGTGGCAAGGAAAAAAAAAATGCAGGGGGGGAAAAAAAAGAGCGCCATCTGTGCCCTCCCCCGGCCCCGTCCCTGCTAATCTGTTGTGGATTTTTCTAAAGTGGCTGCGAGTGTTTTCCAAAGGGCCCGAGGGTATGTTGAGTTTACTCTCGCACAAAGTACAAGCCGCTCTCAAAGAGAACAATGGAGGAGGCCGCGCTCACACACAAATGACAGCTACGCAAGTGAGGAGAACGGTTCCTAAAATGGGGGCTGCGAGATGTGACTTCCTACGAGGGACTGGACTCGGCGGAGCTCAGAACCGCTCTCTAAATCGCCATTCACAGTTCCTGTTAACAGTAACAAATGGCTCAGGTCTCCTCTTACATTGCAAAAACGTTACGTTAATCGATCACTCTAAATTGTCCCTGGGTGTGAATGTGAGCGTGAATGGTTGTTGTTTGTCTGTGTGCCCTGCGATTGACTGGCAACCAGTTGAGGGTGTAACCCATCTACTGCCCGAAGACAGCCGGGAATGACTTTGTTGAATGTGAATTCCTCTTCAGTCCTGCTTTTTCTTCCTACAGAATGCGACGGCTGCAGCAGGCCCATAACTATCGGGTGGATAAGCGGATGAGATAATGTGGGATGGATATCGACGGTATTTACAGTATATATGGTGGTAACAGAACGGAATGGCAACAAAAACTCAGAAAGGAAAAAAAATACATAACATACAAAGTTAAATTAATGATCTGGTGTCAGGCGGGACAGTGGTCGACTGGTTAGCGCGTCCTCCTCACAGCACAGAGGTGCAGGGTTCGATTCCGGCTCCGGCCTTCCTGTGTGGAGTTTGCATGTTCTACCCGCGCTTGTGTGGGTTTTCTCCGGGTACTCCGGTTTCCTCAGGGGGAGTTATTTTTTCCCCACTTCAAGCACCACACTCATGCGCTGTATGCCAAGGACACTTCCTCAAGCAAAATATTTCCACATGCTTGAAGTGGTGCTGCTAGTTTGCCTCAGCCACCAACCATCTGTTGATTTCAGCCAAGCATCCGTGCGGTTAAGGCCAAAAACCAAATGAATGGCAATAATCAACTTCAAGACATGATTGTCATTGCAGTGCTAAAGTTGACGCATCGCCACATCGGTTCAACGCTGTCTTTCCGCCTTTGGTACGACCTTGAAAGCGAGGAATCTTATTGCGGCCAAGACAAAACACCAAGCACATAATCCGTGTTTAGCTATTGAGGGCCAAACCGCGCTTTGGCCCCAAATTGTCAAGAGCTGATTGGCTGAGGCACAAGTCGAACACAATTACCACATCAAAGCGGCACACAGGAAACAAAATGGCCTCTCTCGTTTGGAGCCCAGCCGGCTGGCCGCTGACGTCGCCGGGCAACGGCACACAAAGACGCTCAAACAGGAAGCGGATACGGCGACTAAAAGATGGCAGCGGCCTGCCGGCGACAGATTGCGAGCAAAATCTTTTGTTTGCGAGACACGGGCATCACGGCACTACCTGGGGGACCAACATGATTAATAATAAGCGCCGAGATTGGTGATGCTTTTTGTCGGCTTTGCAGCCGCCGCTACGCTGTCCTGTTGTTAGTGTGTTTGCTAATCCCGTCCTTCGCACCGTTTCGGTCACAATGTGAGGGACGTAGAAACAAAAAAACGCTCTCAAGCTGCTTCTAAAAAGTCAGCATTTTATGTTTTTTTGTTTTTCCAGGTCACTATTTGGTGGAAACGTCACTGACCCGAATAAAAGCCGGTATTGCCATCGCTCATGATATTTTTCTGAAGTCACTGTTTCTGAACAAATAGCATTGTTGTCGCGATTCAGTGTGAAAGCCTTCCACACAAAACAGTGGGTTGAATATGACCCGAGCAAAAAGCCCCTTTGGCCCCGCCGGTTGACATTTTCCCCCTTTTTTCCCCATTTTCCTTCTTCAAATTAACGTCACTAACAATAATTATCATTCACGGCGAGACGGATATGATTGCGGGCTGAAGGTGTCCTTAATCCCTTTGACGCCGTCAGTCAGCCAATTGTGTGCTTTTCTCTACTCACCACAGTGCAACAGAGAGGCCAGAACCACCACATGAGAGCCAGAGCCACCAAAGCCAGAAGCACCAGGAACACGATGATCACCACCAGACCGTTGGACTGCAAACACATCACAGTCCATTTGTTGTTTCATAGTTTCAGGTGTCACAAAAGACAAAAACATGAGCACACAAAGTCAATGTCTTTTTTTAACTTTTTTTTTTTGCCACAAAAAGGTCACTTTCACCGCTTTTTGGTCAGAAAGCGATGTTATTGACTTAATTGAACGGTGTTTGTTTTTCTTTCTTCTTTCTACCCATTATCTTGCTGCTGTGGACTGTAAATTTCCCCATTGTGAGACAAATAAAGGATATCTTAAATGGTTGTTCATATCTGTGTGCCCTGCGATTGGCTGGCAACCGGCTCAGGGTGTCCCCCGCCTACTGCCCGAAGACAGCTGGGACAGGCTCCAGCATGCCCCAAGACTCTTGTGAGGAGAAGTCAGCCAACCACCAGGGGGCGATGCAAGGTCAGTCATCATTAAATTTGGCAAGTGACCGTAAACACGATAAAAGCATATTCATTCAGTTAGCCCGAGATCAACTTTACATTCCAAGGTAGACTTGACTTTTGTTCCTATTATTGACCAGCTATTCCTAAAAGTTTCATGTTACATTCAAGGGTTTGCATATTTCATTGATGTTTTCATGAAAATACTCACACAAGTGGAGGCGGTGATGGTATACGCGCTGGATATGAACGACTTGCCGTTGTTTAAGCTGATAAGCACGTCCATGCTCCTGGGAACACACACATTATTCTTTGCTTGAAATGTTTCAAAAAAAAAAAAAAGAAAACAAAAGAACAGTTCACATTTCTTTCAGTGCCACCTGACAATAAAAAAGTGACATAATTCGACAATGAGGCAAATTATTGGTCATTTAATGTGTACTTTTTTTTGTCCTATGGCAGTTACCAGGGAACATCAATTATTGCTTGATTTCTGCGATTTGCCGTAAGGCTCGGTCCTAATGCCCCACAAATGCCGGGCAAGCAAAAATTATTACCAATGTTATGGGAATTCCAAAAGTTTCAAAAAACTGCTACTCAACACACATGGAGCAGCAACAAGTTCTCTCCGCCTCTTTTTTTTTTAAATATATAATGCGACATTTCTTCCAGTGGGGCTCATTGCTGCTCGGCATGTTGTGGTATCATGTGGTACTGCACTGAAGACATGCAACTCCAAATTCACACTTAAAAAAAAAACCCCAAAAACGATGAAAAGATTGCTTAAAAATCTGCAAATGGCCATGGAACAAAAAGTAAAGTGAATACAAATGGGATATTTTGAAGTCTCATTTTACTTGTGCAGGCAGTATTAAGCTAGAGGGGAGACATCAACAAGTTGAGCAAAAAAAAAAAAAATCATCAGAGTGCACTGGGAAGCAGAGGGCGGGGTGGCTTGGGATGCTGCGCGCTGCTTAAATATTTAGCAGGTAAATAAGGGGTAAGGTGCCAAGGCGGCGGAATATTGATGGGGGGCGTAATGGACACACGGTCTGCTCGCTCATCTGTTGAGATCCACGGGAGGATTGGCCGCCTCGGGCCAAATCCAAATGCAAAGAGAGCACTCCTTGTTAGTATTCGGCACGCCAGGCGGGCCGGGGCCTCGCCGCCAAACGGCACGCCTTCTTCCTCCTTCGCATTTTTCTACCGGGCCCTTTTTTGTCAGGCGGAGGATTTGAGGCGTTTCCGAGCGATGCGGAATTCTCATTAAGGCGACGGTAATTGGACGGGCCGTAATGGACATATGGAAATTGCGGTGCCGTTCATCATTAGGGTTCTAATTGCGGGCCATTACGCCGCGCAACCCCCGCCCAACTCAAGAAGCCCTTGGACTTGCCACGCACCACGCCCACATCCGGATTTTTGGACCTTTTTGGATGCACTTGGCTATGCAAATCAAGCGATATATAGAAGCAAAATAAACGCCAAACGTTTCTATAAGGTTAAAAAGCTTTGGTATCATCACTGTCCATATTCACCTCATTGTCAATATTAAACATCTTTAAAAAAAATCAATCAATCAATTTTGTTTTCCCCCTCAATTTCTTAAATTGTATCCCACTGCTTTTATATTTTGATTCAATATAATCCATGTTGAAACTATTATGCATTGTATTATTTCACCATCCTGCTACGCCGAAAGAAAAATGTTGGTATGTTTGATAGAATCAAGGATAAAACTTGTCGTGCTCGCCTTTTCCTTGCTAGTTCTTCGTATCGGCTCGTTTTTTATTTTGGAATTGGCCTCCATCCAGCGCATATTAAAGCGTGTCGAAGGTGTCCATCCCTCTGCGGCGTGCAAAGCAAATGTGAGCTCTCCGTTTTGGATGTGACGGCTGAAGCTCAATTTCGCCAATTTAAGCCAAACAGGTGATAACATGGCGGGCAGGTTATTAATCGGACACGAGGGCTCCCATGCGAGAAACACTGATGAACATCCAACCGCTGCGCCGCCCCCACCTCCTCCCGTCACAGCTGGACATCCTAAACGCAAGCGTCACCGGCAGAGCATATTTTTCCTTCAACAACCTGAAATGCGGGACATGCTGAATGAAATCCAAAGATAATCGCTACTAATGTTTGGACATGCATCATGTTCAATAAATGGATTTGGAAAAACAGCAGCACTGTTTATCACTAGAGTAATAATCATGACCTGTCGTTCGTACACCAGTATGGATGTACAAAGTCTTTGACGGAAAATACACAAATCAAAGACAACCATTATTTTAAATTCATTTTCATATGTATTTATTTATAATCAAACAAACAAGCAAAAGTCTAAACGGGGTATTCTGATTATTATTGCGTTTGTGCCTTAAGATTTGAACAATGTCTTTCGAGTGCCGTGAGCTTTGATGCTGACTCCCACGGTCTTTGAGCGCTTTAATTTGTCCTCTTTCGATTTCGGTGAGGTTCAACATGCAAAAGAATTACTTTGTGAGCTTGAATGTGCACTGTTTTGATTACGGGAAGTTGTCATGCAAAGCCTTTCAAATTTCATTCCAATTTTGGTGAACTTCGATGCGGATCCTTTCCAATCTCTGAGAGCTTTATTGCGGACTGTTTCAATTCAGGTGAGCGATATGAAAAGCTCTTTCTGCTTCGATTTGCTTGAATCTAGACTGTTTGTACTTCCAAGTGCTTTAATGTAGATTGATTCCAAATTCAGTTCCCTTTCATGCAGGCGCTTTCAATTTAAGTGAGCTTTAATTCAGACTCTTGATCTCTATGTGTAGTTCAGGATGTAGCCCGCCTGCTGCCGAAAGACTTCTGGGAAAGGCTCCGAAGCCATGAAGAAGACGACAGCTGGAAGGTTGCGTTTTTGAGCGATGGCGGGCGAGTGGACTCGTCGAGGGATCCGTCAAGAAAGCGACAGGAAACGATCGGGACGCCGCGGAATCCGCTGAGCCTTGCCGATAGCGTCCATCTGGACGCGACGGCGAGGGATCGGGGGCGCGCTAATGGATTTCCAAAGTTTCCCGTAAAGACGGGAAAATGGAGGAGGCTGAATAATTGACGGCGGAGCATATGCGAGAGCCGTCGGCAGGCGTCACTCGGCGGAGACTTCTGCTGACAGCTGGGAGAACTTCCAGAATGTTCCTCGATTGACGGACGTGCGCTTTGGACTCCTCACAGATGGTACGGCGTTCACGAGTGTCTTACATGCGTCACACTTGAAGTGCCTCTGTTTCAAATGGGGGGCCAGGGGGGGGGCAACTTGTAACGACACAAACACGGGGCCATCAGCTCTGGATAAAGCGATGTAGCAAAAAGCTACGCTGTTGTACGCATTGTCGTTTGACATCTTGTCACCAGAAAAAGCGATGAAGGGAGAAAGGGCGGGAGAAAATGGTCTGTTCCTTCACATGACTGGAGTCGAAGTTTACAGGCACCGGTGGCGCCCGGCCGACAGATGGGCGGCGGCGGTGGTGCCGGCACGGGCGGCAGGCAGTACCTTCCCGCTGCCGGGATTGTCAGAGCGCTGAATTATTTAAAAAGCACGGGGCTAAAAAAAAAAAAAGACGGTTGACAGCTGGCAACTTTCTGAAACGCTAACCCTAGTTAGCTCGCTCACATAATCAGCTATGTGGTCGTTGCATCGTCGAACTCTTGGAAAAGCTCTGCGGTCATACACAGAGTAACTTGATTTGGGGTAAAGTTAGGTGGCATTTCGCTTGGGGAAAAAGCTATGAGAATGTCCACATTTCGCCAACAAAAACTATACAGTTGTCCGCATTTCACTCGAATGCAAGCTATGCGATGGCTCGCATTTGACACTGAAACAAGCTATGCGATCGATCGTCCGCATTTGGTTCCATCTAAAGCTATGCCCACATAGTCATTCGGATCCAAATAAAGCTATAAGGTTTTCCACATAGGAATTTGGCTTCAGAGAACGCTAAGTAGTTGTCCATATACAGTTGCTCTCATCGTCATTTAACGTTGGATAAAATGCACACAAATTCGGACCTGGATAAAGTTATGCAGTCATTCGCACAGTCATTTGGCTCTGGATAAAGCTATGTCATCGTTTGCATCGTCACGTGGCCAAAGTATACATGCTATGCGATGGTCTGCATAGTCATTTGGCTTGGGATAAAGCTAGGCATACATCTGCATTTGGCTCCGGCTAATGCTATGCGGATATCCATACAATCTATATGGTTGTCTGCATTGTCATTTAGTTCTGGATAAAGGTATAATCATTTGGCTTGGGATAAAGCGTTGTGGTTTTCCACATCGTCCATTACTGTGACACGGTTGCCTGCGTTTGTCTCTGAAATTCATCTGTGTGTAAGGCTCTGCGGTTGAACGTCCGTGGTTAGCATCTGCAGAGCTAACAAGGTAACATCGAGGATTCAGGAGGGGTCGGTGTCATCTGTCTCCCAACCTTTTTCAAGGCCCATCAGCAGATGTCTTTAGCGCCAGCCCCGCGACTAGTTAGGGCCTTAATGGGGCCGCCGATCAGTTAATTAAGCGGCAGGCGGCGGCGTGGCGGGCAAGTGCAACTTTACAGATGTCTGCGCCCCAGGAAAAAAAAAAAAAAGGTTTACGGCATCCTTGGCGAGCGAGCGAGGAGAAACGGACGCGAGCTACGCAGCGCGTGTGTGCGGCGTAGGCGGCAGATGTTCGCTTGCTACTTTAATGTCCCGCGGCTTCAACTTTGGAGGCGGCTCCTGAATGGCTGCTGACCCGATGTGCGCGGCCAACTCGATTTGTGCGAATTGGAGCACACCTTTGGATGGAAAAACATTCACGCTCACTTAGGCCTTCGCTGCGACATTTTCAGTCCTTCAAATTTGTTTTTCTCTCATTTCTTTTGCATTCAATACAATTGAGGGATCAATTAGATATGTACTATATTGACTTATTTAGGGATTCAAATATTTACTCCTATCAAATGCTATATTTTCATTATACATATAACCTGTATGTTTGTGCGCGCCTAACAAAATTGAAAATATCTTTTTGACTGATTTGTTTTTTTTGGGGTCGGGGGGCTGAATTTGCATCTATAGGAAATAGGAAATCAAATAAACATATTTATGTATTATTTTTATAGGATTTTTTTAAAGATTTAAAAAAAGCATTTATTTAAAATGAAATAAAATGTCATATGTTGTTCTAAATTACCAATTTATCCTTATTTTATTGTCAAATTGTAACACATCCACAAATTAAAAGTGTTGAGCATTTAATTCACGCACATTGAATCTTTATATCTTACAAGGAATTACATGCATTCCACTGGGTGTACTAAGGTGAACTGAGTGTCAAAAAGTCGTAAATTTGTCATAAGACGACGACGAAATTGTTTTGGTTCCAGGTTCAGCGCCAATGCTACACAAACATATTCCAATCAAAAGTGTAACATGTGTTGGAAACACAAAACAAATATCTTTGCTGCAATAAATCCCCTTGATCCAATCATTTGTCTCCGAATCAGAGGATCAGCATGCAATACTATACGCTAAGTAGATATAGTATACGGTAAGCGTAAGTATGATCAGGCAATGCCCCTTACAATCGTATGCGACTGATTGGATTGCAGTCAAATGTGTGTTGTGCCGAGTTTGGCGATGAGCAGCAAAGACGAAAAAACGCGTCGACTTCCTGTAAATTTAGCGGCTTTTTGTGAATAACACGACATTCACGGTGTACGTGTGTTTGTTTTCTTTCTTACTTTTTTTTTTATGTTTAAGAGGACAAAAATGCTCTCTACCGTCTTTGATACTGATTTATAACGACATAATGACAATACTCACAACTTAGCGCTCACATATTCCCTCAGTTTCAACGCCCAAAATTTTAAAAAAGATTCATCACGGCAATGTACTTACTGTCCCACATCGTAGAGCTTGGGCGCCGGACAGAGAAGGTAGTCGTTACGCACGACGCTCGGCTTGTGATCTAGACGGGAAGCAAAAAAAAAAAAAAAAAAAAGGATACAGTCACGTTACACTGAGAAGGAAGAATATAAATGCCTGTCAATATTCCGGCATGCTCTGTTTGTATGTATGGTTACTCTGGTTGTTTGCTTGCTGCTCTCCTTGCCCACATGTGGAGGCATTTCGCTACCATTGCTCCATTTTGTGTGTGTGCACGTGCATATGTGTGTGCTTGTGTGTGTGTGTGTGTGTGTGTGTGTGTGTGTGTGTGTGTGTGTGTGTGTGTGTGTGTGTGTGTGTGTGTGTGTCTTTGAGTCTCCGGCCACCGAGGTCGTTTGTTTGGCCCTCCAACTGCTGAGGTGACAGATAAGACGGTGGCATCTGCCTGGCATATGCAGCGCGTGTTCGAAAACCGTCGAGACGTACCCCCACCCCCACCCTGTCCCCGCTTATCCATCGTCCGTAATTAAAAAAACGTGGTCCTCGCCGTCAAAAAGGTCGTCAGAAACACATGCAGGGGGGCAAAACAAAAAAAAAAAAAAAAAAAAAAAAGAGGGAACGGCGGGCCTTCCCCCGTGTGGGCGACGGAACTGAGAAAGGACACACACTAGGACATCTGCTGACGACAAGTTGAGCCTTAAAAAAAGAAAAAAAAAGCAGGGAAAATATGCCACACAAGTATTTCAGTCAAGAGTCAGAAAATAACTTGTTGGCATTGGCACGCACCGAACGAGTGTTTGTGAAGATGAGCCAAACGTGCCGGAAACAGATTGCAGGCCAAAATAAGAAGCTTGGTGACCTGCACACACTACATATTGTACTTTCGCGTCACCTTATTTATTTTGTTTTGTTTTTGTTTTTTACTCATCCATAATAGACAGCGCTTGGCTATTTATAATACTTGAAAAAATAAAGTTGGTTTGGGAAGGTGTGCTTTTGGGAACAACCCGTGAAATCAGACGATATATTCACCCTTTTTAATGGTACGGTGTGGTATTGGGCACCAACGATTAATCGACCGGCCCATGCAATCAGTCGATATTAGCACCTTTAAAACGGGCAAAAATCAGCTGATTTATTGGGCTTTTTTTTTTTTTTTTTTTTTGGTACGGCACGAAGACGGTACATGGTATGCCGGAGTCACTTACTGAAGGTTTGCTGATCCACGATGAAGCTGCACACCACACTCTCGCTGCTGCGGCCCAACGCGAAGCCATTCCCCCGCAGAACAATGTCGAACGACTCTGCAGCGGGGACATTTTGGAGGTTTTAGGAGCGTTTGGGACGATTCCCTGGTTGGAAACCATCAACATACAAGTCCCAAAATAGCCCAAATAGTCGCCGTCAATGTATCAACAAACTGCTCCGGTTGTAAAGGCATGGCGACCTGCCCATTCCGACACATGCCAGAACTCTCCCCTTCTTCCTAAACTTACTAACAATCCCCACTTTCCTATACGTACCAGCAAAACTCGCCTTTTGTAAACTTTCCAGGTTTCCACCTTTTATAAAATGCGCCAGCAAGTAACTTTCAGAAAATTCACCTAACCATCAAGTATGGCAGCCTGACTTTTTCCCAACTTTGCGGGGGGCGCTACTGAATTGGTGTCACCGGCACTTGGGTTGAAATGCGCTCACCGTTGACGCAGACACTGGAGGGCTCCACACTCAGGATCTCTGTACAGGACCTCTTCAAAATCTGCACACAGAGAAGAATGCCGGAGACACGTTATCGGCACGTTGACGCTCGCCTATCGAGCGGGTCAGCTAGGGAAAAACAGATGAAGGCGCAACACCTGAGAAACGGATCCGACTGGGTGGGGGTGCTGGGGGTACGCCGGCTTTTATGGGCAAATTATGCGAGGCGATTACATCCGCCGCTTGTATTGAAAAGGCTGCGGATGCGACATTAACATATAAAGAGGCTTGCGAGGGTCCCACTGTCGCCAGTCCATAAATCAGCAAAGGACAAAGTATGCAAATGGAGCCTGGTTCGAAAAAAAAAAAAAGTGCATCAGGTGCGCGCTCGCACCTTTCGGTACAGGTTGCGCGCAGCTTCCATCTGACGAGCGGCAAATATTTACTGCCAAGTGTGGGAAATAAATGTGACAACGGGATATGGACGCATTGGGAAAAAAAAAAAGACGATTTGTGGAGGGAGGCTACAGGAAAAAGGAAGTGCTGCGTTTATCCACCGATAATGACTTCCTTGACAGGGTGGAGATAAAGACAAAAGCTGTCAGCCTTGTTTCCCGTCAGGTCGAAGCTTCCCACTGCATTTGTCAGGAATACTTAGCAGCGACCTCGCTTTCCTTAACGTAACAGCAGTCACCCCCTTTGCCAACCCACTTGACTCAACATGCCAGCCATCTCACATTGACTAAATTGACCAAAGAGCCCCGCTCTCCTAGATGTGCTCGCAAACACCCCCATTTCCGAATCTTCGCAGTTTTCTCCCCTTTTAGAAATTGACCAGCAATCTCCCTGTCCTAGCTATTTCAGTAACCCCCCTTCCTTTTCACATAAACCACTTTCCTAAACATGCCACGGTTTCCTTTTCACAAACCTTGCCGCCCCGCTTCCAAAACATAAAAGGTCTCCTATTCCTAAATATATCCCCCAGAAAAGCTTGCCAGCAACTCCCCCAAACCTAAATGTAGCCAATTTCCCTATACATGTTGCAATGTCACTGTTCCCCTTAATATATTAGCGACCTCCCTTTCCTAAATATGCCAGTGCCCTGGCCTTAGCTAAACTTAGCAGCAAATGCCCAAAACAAAGAAAAACGCAAAGAAAAATTATTAAACAAGCCAAGCATCAATCCCAAATTTACCTGCAATCCCTCCTTTCCTAAACAAGATAGAAATCACTCATCTTCCCAAAACATGGCGAAAAAAAAACTTTCCTAAACATGCCAGGAACCTCCCCTTTCCTAAACTTGCCAAAAAATCTTTTTAATTACATTTGAAAAATGTAACTAACCAAACTTAAGTACTTTTAAACTTAGTAATGTTTAAAAGTATTTTTTTAATTGTAATCTAAAAAAAAAATACATACAGTAAATTACATCATCATAACTATTGTCATGGAAGTTCAGACTTTTTTTGTATATATTTACCAACGTTTACATTCGACCCAAAAAAAAAAGGGTGCTGTCAATCAACAGCCTGACAGCTTTGAAGCTGTCAGGCAATAAAGTTATGACAGTGCTTATTGACCACGTCTGATTAGATTATTGGTAGACATTTTTTTTTTTAACTGTCTAACTGACATTTTCACCCCGGAACACATCATAACACCTTCTTGTCGCTTTGAAATTGGCTCCAATGAGAGGTGGACAGATTGCTTTCATTAGCGACAATGAAAACAAGCGTTTTGGCCTCGCGTCCTTCCCGGCTGCACACGTGGCAGCTCCGTCCGTCCGTCCGTCCGTGCGTGCATGGCGCGCGCGTGTGCGCGTTGGCCGAAACACAGCTGCAACATCTCCAGCAGATGTTCCTTCTGGCCTCGCCTTACACACATCATGTAAACCAACTTCGTGGATGTGTGCAAGCGTGTGTGTGTGTGTGTGTGTGTGTGTGTGTGTGTGTGTGTGTGTGTGTGTGTGTGTGTGTGTGTGTGTGTGTGTGTGTGTACAAGTGTGTGAGAGAGAGACAGAGAGAGAGACGCTTCGCGCAGGCTTTTCCTTTTGCAGCCCGAGTGAAGTCAGCGACAGGAAATGAGCCGTTTCCGTCTTTTAAATAAAACGCCGGAACTGAGAGAGAAGAAGAAGAAGAAAAAGAAGACGAAGGAGGAGGCCTCACTTACGGAATTGACAATGCCTTTGAGCGCGTGGAAGCCATCTTTGACAGGAAACACCTGGTCCTTGGTGTCGGCGATGTCGACGAGCTGCGAAGGAGGAGAAAAAGGTTTGAGAACGGCGCGGTCCAGTTTGGACTGAGCCTTGGCTTTGGCGCCGGCGAGCGGCAGGCGACGGAGCAGATGGCCCAACTGTGGCAAACGCTCGACGGTGGCGCAGAGGGAGACGAATGTTGCCTTTGTTTGGGACTTAACAGGCGCCGGATGGTTACCAACGGTTGCCATGGTTATGAGGTGTGGGCGGGGGGGTGTTGAGGGCAGGACGCCGCATCGGAGGGCCGACGTTGGCCAAAAGTAGCCATCAAGATTTGCTCCTTTGTAAATGTGCCGACACTGAATTAGTCCGATATCTTAAAAAGTATATATTCGCAATGAGAGCTAAAGGTATGTCGGTAGGCCGAAGAGTTGGTCGTTTGTTCAGTAGATTAGGTTAGTTTTCCTTCAGTATGTCGGTAGTTAGTTGGATGGGTTCAAAGTTGGTAGGTTTGACTACGAAGGTAAGTTGGGCCGTGGTCAGTCGATAGAGTAGATATCAAGTAGCTCGGTGGCTTGCTAGGTATGTAGGATGGTAATAAGTCAGTTGGTTAGGTAGCTAAGGTAGTTGGTTAGTTAATAAGTAGATAGGTAAGCAGGTAGGTTGCAAGTAGGCACAGGTAGGTCAGATGTTCAGTAGGAACTGTGGCTAGCTCGTTGGGCAATTAGGCTTTGGGTAAGTAGGAAGGTTAGGTGTTCAGTAGTTGGTTGGGTTAGTTAGGTGGGTCAGTGGGTATGATAACGGTTCTGTCGATGTATCAGTAGGTACAAAGCACTTATGTGGCTTTGGTAAATATATTACTACACCAGTCGCTGTGTGAGGAAAATGTCGAATTTCAGAGCGCCCGCGAAGGCAACGCCTCAGCTCGCGAGTGAATGAAACCTTGATCTCACTCCTCCTCCGTGCAATGCCCCGGTGGGACGCAGCAAAAGTAAGCCTTCATGATTTCACGTGGCATCCTGTCATTTGAGCCCATTTAGGCCAGGGCGGGGTGCATCAAAGTGGGTCAGGGAGGCCACTCAAGTCGCAAGGGATGAAACCTACTGGAGGGTCTTTCGCACACAGCTGGTGCCAATGCTGGTTTCCAGCCACCCAAGTCCACTGCCCCCCCCACCCCACTTGTGAGGATTGTGGTATGCTGTGTTTGGATGGGTCGCTGCCCCATGTGTGCAAAGAAGGCATTGTTCAAAGGTTTGGAAAAACAAGTGACATCAACGCTAATTTCTAGCTCGTCTTTGGCATTTTGCATTTTATGTTAGCATTGAGCTAAGTGTTCGCTCACCTGCTGCTCATCAAAGTCCTTGATCCCCACGCAGTAGACTCGAGCGCCGTACTTCCGTGCTTCCTCCGCCTTTTAGACCCCCAAACACACACGCACACACACACACGAACGCACGCACACACACGCACAGGAACACACACACACACACACACACACACACACACACACACACAAAAAACCAAACACCATAAATTCATGAAAATCTCAATCTCAGCCAGGGAAAAGAACCTGACCAGGGGTAATACCTGTTTGACAGTGAAGTCATGAACAAACACATCCAGCTTCCCGTCCGTCAGCGCCAGGATGATGCTTGACGACTTGACGCCTTGCTTCTGGATCTGATCCGTGGCCTACGGGGTGAAAAAGCACCAAAAAAGTCAGGTCTATTTCTCTAAGCTCCACGCCAAAGGGTCCGCTCACTTTTTTGATGCCTTCGTGCATGTATGTTTCGCCGGCCGGATTGACAGCACGCAGCTTCTCCAGGCCTTCTTCGATTTCGTACCTTATAAGACAAAAAAGGGGGTTGGAATTTTGGGGGCGGGAGGTTTTGGTATGCTAAGTTTCCGCTAATGCGGCACCGTTTTGTCACAGAAATCATGGAATGCTAACGCGCTAGCAAAATAATGCTAACTTACCGATCGCCAGTCAGCGGGAGGAGGACGTGAGCTTGGGCCGAGAATACGATAAAGGAAACTCTCATCCTGGGACTACAGAGTAAAGAAAGAACAACATTATAATAAAGTGGATTACAAACTCATTTCAGTTTACAATAACATCATGAGCTAAATGCATTTTTGCTGTTAGAGTTTTGTTAATGTGCATTATGGCACGTTCGGTTGGGCAATTGATTGATTTCATCAAATAATGCATGTTGATTGGTAAGGGCGATGTCCTTTGAGGGAAGACAATTTTTTGGGGGGTGGGGGGGTGAAAAAGGTTTCTGGGGATTGGTGACATTTTTTCAATTTTTTTTTAAGTGGAAATACATTTTTCTGGAGGGTTGGGTGAATAAAAACCAGTGAAAATATTTGGGGGGGCGAAAAAAATTGGGGGGAAGGGGAAATAGGTGGGATATAGTTTTTTTGAGATTTTTTGATAGAAAAATTATTTTGGGGGTAACTGTGAAAAAACATTTGGGGGAAATATATTTTGGACGGGGAACAGATTTTTGCGTGGCGATAAAAATATTTTTGGGGGTAAGGCAAAATTTTATTTGTGGTGGAAATATTTTAGGGGGCGAATTTTTTTTTCCAATTTTTGGGGGAGAAGTGGAGGGGGGGCAGAATCCATAGTTCAAAGCTCATCCATAATTACATGCACAGCTATCACTAACAGAAGGGAGCTAAAATGAGCAAAAATGTTATGTTTGCACTTTGTGAAGGTCCTTAATTATTTATTATTATTATTATTATTATTATTATTATTATTATGAATATCATCATCATCATCATCATCATCATGGAACGTCTGTGGCCAATTACTTAAAGCTTCTAGGAGTGTCAGATGGCTATGAATCCAATATATTTTCAACACATGGTGAAAGCATGGTCCTAAAATTAGCCTTCTTTTTTTTTTTTAATACGCAGCTTCTGTCAGCCCGAAGGAAGTCGCAGCTAACATGATGTTGCTGTGATATGAGTCACGTCCTGCAGGGCATAAATATGGACACAAATATGTACCTGACACTTTTAACGCCACACAGGAAAACGCTGGCTGCATTTGACATGACTAAATTGAATAAATTTAAACCTCAAATCTCTGGCGAAAATCAAGTCCATAGCATACATATGCGATGAAACTCCATTTTGATGTCATCCTGACCACTTTTTAAAGGACATTCACACGTCGGAAGGTGTCAAACGGCGTGTTCCGCTTGGAAAGAGGATCTTGGTTCATGCCAAATTAAGATCGCCGAGCTCAAGTTGTTCCGACATCTTTTCTGCCATTGAAATAAAACGTTTCCATGACCTTGCTGATGTCGGGGGGGGGGGGGACAAAAAGATGTATACAGTATTAGCTTGTAGACTCTAAAAATAACCGTACTTCGAAGAAATAGAAAGAAACGAGTTCAATCCAAATACCGCGGATGGAGTCAGCATGATCATAATCCTGCAAAAGTGTACGATCGCGTGCAGCGCACAGGTGGACACGATACATTTGAAAAGTCCATTTATTTATTTATTTAAATAAATAATCATCAGCATCATCATCATCTCGGAAATTTTGGAAGGCACGGTCTGATTTGTATGTTTTGTTCCTTTGTGTTCAAAGTGTAAAAGGGAATTGCAAATGAGGACATATTGGGTGGAAGGAGAAAATGTGAGACTTTTGCTTTGCCGGGCGTGAAGTTGCAAAGCGCAGCGGCCAACTTGCAGTGTTCCCACAGGCCTTTGTGGGAGCATAAGCTAGCCATATTTGGCACAGCCTTTTACTTTTGAAACTTCCATTTTAAGTTTGGGATATTTTGGTTTTGCAACACTTTTTTTTTTGTTTGTTTGTTTGTTTAATATCTGCTTTTTTTTTTTTTCATCAATCTTCCCGACGCCAAAATATGGTTGCTGTCCAGCTGTTGAGCAGCAGCACTTGTATGGATCAATGTGGAACGGGTTTTCGAATCTCATGTTCAAATACTTTTGAAGGATTTTCGGAAACCCTTTCTGATGACTTACTTCAAAATAGAACAATGGTGTCTGATGACTCGTGAGATTAGGACTTTGAAAAGAGGCATCTTTGTCTTTGTCCGACAAATTTCAAGCTTGAAAAATATGGCGATGACTTGGTCGAGAAAAAAGAAAACCTTTGTTCTCCAAAAATGACTTGTTTCCCTATTCTTTCCCTGATTTTTTATGAATAAAACCATGAATTTGTTGTCTGAATTTTTTTTAATGTATTTGAACTCCCGCCGCCACCAAAAAAAAATAAAAAATCCCCAAAACATTTTTCCTAACTGTATTGGGTGTATTTTGGTAAGATGACAACTTTTCTATTTGAGGAAAAAAAAAACAGTAACAAAAAAAAACTAGACCATGTTAAAAACTAAGATTATTTTGAAAAAGAAAAAATATGTCATCTTTCTTGAACAAGAAACATTTTTTGGCTTCTGGGTGACAGATACCGCCACAGAGCAAGGCCTCCATTTTGTCATTTTCCTTAAACAATGTTTTTTTTTTTTTTGTGTCCCTTTGTCCAAAATTGCTCCTGAGTTGCAACGGGGAACATCTTGGGTGCAAAGAGAAAGACAAAAAGTGGTTTCAACTGAGCGTGTGGCAAGAAACGCTTTTGAATTTGGCGTCAGGTTGCACACGGACGCCGTCCAAAGTAATCTGTCAAATGCAAGCGACAAAACGGCCGCGGTGTGCGTACAGCAACCAAATGACGTCGCCGATTATATATGTGAAGTTGGCGCCAATACACGCCGCGTGGGGGGGGGGGGATTGGATGATTTCCTGTCGAGATCGGTCGGACGTAGCATCGCTATTAGCCACACACGGCGGAACAGAAGTGTTCGCCGTGTGCGAGCATCTTCAACAGATTGTCCTCGCCGCCTCCCGGCCGTCTTGCTGTACATTGTGTATGTTGTGCTGCAGTGGGGGTGGGGGCCTGGGGGGGTGGCTGATTGGCTTTGGGGTTTCTAGCGCACACACACAAAAAAAGCACACTTTCCAGAAAGTGCTGCAAATGGAGGATTTCACATTTTGACGTATTCATGATTATATGTTATGATAATTTTTTTTTTTTTTTAATGGAAGAAAAACGTTTTTAGGGGAAAGTGACATTCTTATGTGAATTTAAACATTTTTCTTTTTTTAGAGGGGAAACAATTTTTTTAAAATGTGAATATTCCCATGAGACTTTCATTTGTATTGCTAAAAAAAGTTTCGATTTTATTTATTTATTTTTGGTAAAAGTTGCAATTTTGCGAGAACTAATTTTCAAGAGTGGGGTTTTCGTGATATGTCTTGAGGAAAAAAAATGAGGTTAGTTTAAAAATCAAGACTTGTTTTTGAGGACACATTTGATTTATTTATCTACTTTTAAAAGGTAACAATCCCATGAGGGGGGGGGAGAAAAAAAATTTTGACCAGGAAAAGAATTTGAATTGAATCAATTGTCAAGTTTTGAAGAATTTAGAGGAAAAAAGACATTATTTTCTGAGGAAAAGAGCCCAAATTTTGTTCATAGGGGAGAAAAACACTGCAATTTCATCCTCCAAAAAGGAGGAGAATTTTTAAAAATAAAGTCAGAATATTGTTGGAATCAATTCCGACATTTTAGAAGAAGAAAATGGAGCTCGTCCGGTGGTGTTCTTACTGTACATAGCCTGATATGGTGGAAGTCAGGAGTTTGGGAGCGGGGGGAGGGCGGGAGGGCGGGGGCGGCGTGATCGGTGGGGGGTGTACGTGTGGCGGCCACTCCCGTGGCAAATGGCCGTTCTCGCAGCCCAGAAGAGCGGCCGACTCCGCCACCCACTCCCACCTGCTGCCTTTGCTATTTTCTTCAGGCGGGCAAAGCGAGCGAGCGCCGTCTGTCCTGTAGCTGAGCTGGCAGCCGGCAGCCGGCGGCGGCGGCGGCGCTCACACCTCGAAGACGGACAATTTTTTGGTCTGAATAGGACGTGCGGCCACGTCCTCCCAAAGTCGGGAGCGGAGCTGCGAGGCCGGCGAACGTGCGAAAACGTGACAGGGTTCCAAGCGGGAACAAAACTGCCGATTGTGTCGCCTCCAGTTGGTGACCATCGTCCACGGGGGTTTATGTCGGAGAAGAACACTTAACGATTAAGTCGGATGTTTTTTCAATCCTGAGAAAGTGAAGTCTGTTGACTAGAGAAAAAGTTGTCATCCACAGTAATACGTTTCTTGTTGGGACCATAATGTTTTTTTTTTTTTTGTCCCTCCATGTAAAGAGTTTCACTCTTTTGAGAAAAATGCAAATATTTTTCATGAATGTTTTTAAAAGAAAAAAATGAGGAGGAGGGAAGCGTGCGTGATTGTGAGTGTGTTTGGGGGGGGCGAAGGATGTTTTCCAAGAAAAAAGTTGTAATCTCATGAGAATTGTGAGGAAAAGGGGGAATATCATACAAAATGCAGAATTTGGGGAGAAGAGTACTGTTGTAATTATTTTCATGAAGAAAAAATAAAGTCATACTACACAAGCATCAAGTCCTTTTTGTGAAACAAAGGCCTTTTTTTTTTTATAAAGGCCCAATTTGCAGGACGTTTTTTCTGACTAAATAAATATATTATCCACAAACAAAAAAGCAGAATAGAAAGAGCCGCGGCTCAGAGTTCAACGTGAATGTTCAAACTGGTACGTAGATGAAATAAAATATTGTGGGGAATGATGCAGAGTTGGATTTTTTTCCAGTTTTGATTTTGGTGGTCACTGCTCAACGCTGACTTACGTACCGTCATCGTTATTATTATGATTATTCATCCACCCATCCATCCACCCCGTATGATTGCAGCTATTACTGGGACGTGCCAGTTTGTCCACTTGGGAGGCTCGCCACCCAACGCATTGACTCACCTGACAAATCTGTCGGTCAGATTGCGGACAAAGGAGTAGATCTCAAACCAGTCGTTGGCAACGCTTCCCGACCTGAAAGGAGACAGAAATGTTGCTGCTCATCTTGTGGCACACATCAGCAAGAATCCCATCTGAAATCCGGGAACCATTCAAAGACACCAACCGAGGGAGGCTGCAATTCAGCGCAACGGGAAGTGGCGCGACATTGCGCCTCATGACGCCGTTTGCTTCGGTGAAGAATCACGTCAGAAAAAATTTCCAAGAGAGAACAATTTTCTGGGATTTTTTTTTTTAATTTGTAAAAAAAAGTCTAACTTCAGTCTTTATCCAAAAGCCACACAAAAAAACACAAATCTGACACACAATTATAAAACACTGATTAAAATCTCCAGCAATGCTGTCAGCATTCTGTCAGGTGGGTGCGGACAAAAAAATAAAAAAGGGTCAGTAAGACCAACACCGGGGAGACTTGAAGGAGTGATTTCAATAAAATGAAATGGGGGGGAAAAAAACAAAACATCTCATGTTCTTGGACAGGAAGTTTTCAGTTTGATGATGCAACTCCCCCTTCCTGCCTTTTTGCATCATAAGATGAACTTGTTGTGCCGCCTTCCACCAGAAACATGGAAGGCAGCTGTGTCCCCCACAGCCGAGCCCACCCCGGCGTCCGTCCACGTCGCAACAGCTGGCGGCCCGGCCCGGAATGCTGACCACACCCCAATTTATTTCTTTATTTATTTTTCTCGAAACCTCACAAAGTTGACTGTGTCCTGTGACGCATATTCATTTCTCATCACTTCCTTTTTTTTTTTTTTGTCTCTTTTGGTGGTTTATTTGGCCATAAAAAATGGTTTGAGACAAAAAATTCTGCCTCAAAACTAAAATTGAATCATTTTCAAACCATATTTGCCCCAATTTTCTGGCAGCAAATGTCGGACTTCCACGAAGGGGGAAGAATAGGATGATGCCCAGAGTTTGGGATGACTTTAAACGAAAAAGAACAAAAAAATGAATACAAACTATGTAATTACGACCAAGCGGAGCTGGCAGAGCTTGGAGGCGCACGTGTTGACGACACCTACTTATGATGAGAAGTAATAACTCAATTTAATTAGGCCTATAGCATAATCAATGCCCTGCTTGTTTGGGCAATTAGCATTTGTAGTTCTCATTCTAGCTTGTCCGGGACAGATGTTTTTTTCTTATTAGTCTTGGAAGTCCAATCACTTGACGGACTGGAATATTTGACCTCTTACAAAAAACAAACAAAACAACAAGAAAAAATACATTGTAATCCCAGATACAACCTGTCATAATGTTACGCCACCCAGAGCTGCAGTATTTCACGGGCACATTGACTGCTACCTTAGGGTTGTTTTGACATCATGTCATGAATGAGCCAGCTCTCAATTAATTTTCTGTTTGGACATAACCACATTTTTGTTCTTGTGCAAACTGTCATTCAGAGCGTATTGACATCTCCACCTTATAACAGATTTGAACACAATCAAAGGAGAAAAATGTGGCGAGTTCGGGACAAGGTGTGCTCTTCCTTTTCGGAGTCCACTCTCTAAAGCAAGGGTGTCAAACTCATTTTTTGTTACGGGCCACATTGTAGTTACAGTTTGCCTTGGAGGGCCGTTATGAATTTTGGGAAACCATGTAAACGTTTAATCCCCTCCACATATTACATACACAGCGCACAACAAATGATTAATAACTAGTTTTAAAATCAGAAGTCAAGAATAATGATTGTTATTGTGGATTACATATGACAATTTGGAATTTAGTTTCAGACTTTAGCAAGCAATATGGAATTTGACATGCTTGGTTTGCTTTTGCGGGCCACGTAAAATGATGTGGAGGGCCACATCTGGCCCCCCGGGCCTTGTGTTTGACACCTGTGCGCTAAAGGAAGGAAAATATTGGACTTTTTTACCAAAAGCCAGATTGTTATGCCCTCCACAGCCGCTCTGGGGCATATTTAGATGCCACCCGGTGTTGTTAGGATAAACAATGACGGTATTAGCGAGTGATCACCGCATTTCTGCTGACATGAAAGCTCATTTCCTCTCGCGCGTGGTTGTGAGTGTCTTACTTGTCCAGGACGAAGTAGAGGTCGTAGGCTCCGTGGCAGGATGCTTCCTCCGCCCAGACCGTCGAGGCTAAAACGCTCAGCAAGAGCGCGCCGACGGCGGCCGCACGCCACCAACGCTGCCCGGGTAAAAGTTGATTCGCCGGGGAGAAGTCAGACGACTTTCTGGACATTTTCGAACGTTTGTCTCGAGACATTTGTGTACAAGAAGACGGCGGCGACGAGTGACAAGCTACATGTCGAATCACCGCACTTCAGTCCGCGGCGACATGTGAAATAGAGGAAATTACCGCCCAGACGTCATCGTTGTTGACTCACAAGTCGGTCAACTTGCAACCGCGATAAACTCCAAACCAAGTCCGTGATTCGGGTGGATGCCACTTTGAATGAAAAAAATGGCGAATAGGAGAGGAAAAGTGAGAGAAAAGGACGTTTTATAATACACGACAAAAGTTGGCAGAAGTCGAACTTACTAAATAGTGATGCGTTCAAGGAAAGCTCGGATTTGTAAACTTCCCACTTCAAGGAAGCTGGGAGAGATGACTATCGCAAAAATCTTCAATAAAGTGTAAAAACAAATAATAAAATTGAAAATGAAACTTTTAAGGCGTCAAGGGGCTCATTTTAAGGAGAAGTTAAGAAAAGGAATCCATGAAAGCGTTATATTTTTCAAAGAAAAAAACTATGAATTCAAAAAAAGTTTTTTTTTTTTAAGAAACAAAGTTTTAATAAAACAAGTCATAATTAGATGACATTTTCCCCAAATTTTCACGACAAAAAGGGGATTTTGTTTCTTTTTTTCTTTGTTGCGTTTTTTTTTCCCCAAAGGGAATAAATCGCGATGAATGTGCTTCATGTTACTTTTCACAACATGCAATACAGCAACGTTTTTTATCGGATGTCTCTATGACACCCCCTCGGGATATTGGATACCTTTCCTCAGTGGTGTTTTGCAAACTGGAAATTCCAAGACTGTTGTCACTCGTCCATCTTGTTCAAACAAGAGTTGGCAACGCTGATAAAAAGATGTGACTCCAGGCTGTGGAATTAAAACACGCATTTCAACATACATGTTTCGGATATTCGGTGTCAGGGCTCACTGAGGTTTTTCGAAACTGCGAGCTACTTTTTGAGTACTGAAGAATGCAAAGAGCTCCCAGTTTGACACGCGTATCTGAAATAAGTTTGCTCCAATTTTAATAATGTTGTCTGTTCTTATTAAGAATGAATGATATCGATTTCTGTGAAGACACTGATCGTGTTTATGATTTCTCATAATAAGAAGGGAAACAGATCAATATTAATACACATTTTTTTTTCTGATCTAACCGTCTGAGGTTTGACTGCCAGTGTTCACATCTTCCTAGAAAACCACAATCTCAAATGAGGGGTGAGTTGGTTTTCGAAGCGGCCCGCGGTCCGCTCGTGTGGTCATTGAGTGCTACCACGTTGGCGAGCACTTCCAGATGTGCTTCTGCAATTCAACCACATGCTATGGGCCATTGATGTTGCTTTCAATCAGAATTTTCTGCTGGCTGAAAGGGGAAGTGAAATTATACCAACTTTATTTGCTGTTTGATTGACACACACATAAGCCACATTATCGGATTTCACCACATTTACGAGTGCAGACGGATTTCTCGAGATCATTTTTGTTCCCCAGAAAAAGAGTCCAGTGAATTAGGCAAAGCAGTTTTATTTCTACAGCTCATTTCAACCACATGGTAACGCAACGTGCTTCACACAAAGATCCAACACCGACAAGGATTTAGAGACAGTGAATGACATTCGAAGCAAAATGGAGAAATCAAAAATAAAAATGATCAGAATGTACGCTGATACCATTCAAACACATTTCCAAAAAAAGTTAAATGTAAAGAAATAAGAGTAGGTTTCTAAAATAACTTATGTCACAAATTGTGAAATATGACCAAATGAATTCAGATTTTGGGCGGGTCAAAAAAATTCTGAAAGGAAAAGTCTTTTTTTCGAGAAACATAAAGAATCTGAAACCAGTCATATTTTGCAATGAAAAAAGTACGAACAAAAAAATTCTGAATATTAGAAAAGTTTTTCAAGTTGTATTGTTTCAACAGTCTGATTTTTAGAGAAAAAAAAATCCAAAAAAATGTTTAGAATGCAGTGGGGGAATTTCTCACGAAAAACGACATAACGGGATTTTTTTTTCAAGAAATCTTTCGAGACTGCATTATGCTAAACCTGTACCCCTGTGATTAGTTAGTGAGCTTTGACTGAGCCAAACTCTTTTTAACACTTCCGCTCTACCGCAAATTTATTTTTCTTCTGCTGTGCCGGAGTTGTCAAACACACACACACACACACACACACACACACACACACACACACACACACACACACACACACACACACACACACACATACCTCCACCGCAGCTAATTACGGCTAACACACCTCATCAAATGTGAACATCAACACAGCGGTATAATTATCTGGCAAATCAAAGTCTAATTGGATGTTAATTACAATGTTAATTCCTCTGCACGCCGTTTGCTTTCAGCAGGAAGCGCCACTGCCACGCCGCTGTACAAAGGGGCCTGCTGTGTGTGTGCGCGTGTGCGTGCCTGCATTTCTCACGGTTTCTGCGATTTCCTGCCGCCGTTGAGGCGATGAAACTCGTCGAGAGGGAACAACAACAGCCGAGTCAACGCAAACAATCGCAAAGCGTGTCCTCAGCGTGTCACGCGATTGGCCAAATGAGTTGGATGAAACACAAAACTCAAAGCGAGCGTTACGCGTTTCGAAGTTGCTCCTTTGTCGTTAAAAGTGTCGCGGAGCGTCAAGTAGGGAGCAAAGAGACCAAGGACACGGACAGCCGGGGCAAAATTCTGGCCAGGAGAGACGAGACTAACAGTGAGCAGGTTCAGATGCCTGCAGTCCCTCCTCCTACCTGAGCTTTTATTGGAAGTCACAGAGACGATAATGATTAAAGGTCAACTTTTTAAGCCACGCCCCACGACTTTCCATATCCAGACATACACAACGTTAGCACCTGACAAGCTACTTAGCGGAGCGCTAACATCTGCTGAATGCAAAAGAACCATTAACCACAGCAGTGACGAGGCAACATTGAGCTCAGCTAATGAGTAGTGTGTATACACACACACACACACACACACACACACACACACACACAAACACACACACACACACACACACACACACATCGGGACATGATGGATGGGCAATGTTTATGCGTCGACTGGGCTCTTCTGTTTCAACTAAAGACGTCGTTAGCGACAAACAAGCGCTTTCCTCCAAGGAGCTTGGCAAATAACATCCACTTGGCTAATTATGAAACATGGAAGCCATTACGGTTTGTCCTCGCCGCGAATATTTGTTTTGCGACTCCTCGCCACTTGCGAACTGAGAACTTTTTGTGAGCCGGCCAAGAAAAAGAGCAGACATAGTCGGGGTGAAGTAAGTAATGGAAGCAGAGCAGCATTTAAAGGAAAAAATATAAACAACATTTTTTTTTTGGAGACATATTCAACATTTAGTAACATCTTGGGATGGTGGCAAGATAAGCAGCAGCGGCTCATTGAGACAAGTAAAGGTTCGTCTCCACAAGTCGGGCTGGCTGGAAGGTGACAAATGTGCAGCGATTCTTCCTCCGTGTGCTATTCTGACCCCGCAGAAACCCGGGGAAGTGTTTTTAATTTGCGTGGAGAATGGGCTAAAACGGCGTCCATTAAAGTCCCCCGTTGGACGTCCTCGCCGCCGCCCTGGAGTAATTGCTCTTGATTCCCCCTTTGTGTTTCACGCTCAACTCCCCCCTGACGCGGCGGCGGGCGGGCGTATGAAGACGCGCTGGCTGACAGGTCTCCTCCTGATGAACAAATTAAGGATGGACTTCGCCTTAATCTGTCTGGAAGCTTCTTTTTGCGGCCGCACGTCTTCGCCGGTGACAGCCACGCTCGCCATAAATTGGACTTGAGGGAAGTCGGCGCCGTTTTAATACGAGACGAGGGCGGGTGGGGGGGGGCGGGAGGACACAGGTGATGAAGTTGTCGGCAAATTACCGTCTTACTTGTTGCCGTGGCGACAACCGGTACAAGGAAACAACGTTTGATCCCGAGCACTGATGGTTTTTCTCGAATTTTGCCTTTCCAGGCGCTTGCTGAGAGCACTCTGAATAAAACTAAAAACTGAAAAAGACATTTTAAAAAAATATATATTTTATATATAAAAATATAAAAACATGTTTTCATTGTCGACGTTTTAGGTTATGTGTTCTGTAAAGCGCTTTGTTCGAGCTGCAGCTGTTGCGAAAGCACTTTATCAATCAAGATATAATGCATTGTATTAGATCATAAAAATGCTAGCGGAACAAGCTAGCACACATATATGTTAGCTTTTTTTTGTTTTGTTTTGTTTTGCTTTTTCTCACTTTTTTGTTGACGATTCAGTTCAAATCACTGATCGCATTTACCATGGCGGAATGTGGAAAAGGTTATTGTTATTATTCCATAATATCATTTCAATTCCACTTCATGACGAACGCTGTTCAGTCTTGATTGACAGGTCAAAGCAGTTTCGAACATTTTGACCACCTGGTGTGGCGAAATAAGTTGGATTGCGTATATTGAGTATGATGTTGTAAATTTGCTAACAGGCAGCGACGCC